TGGTGGTGGTGGTTGTGGTGTTACTATTGTTGCCTGATGGTGGTGGTGGTGTTACTATTGTTGCCTCGTGGTGGTGGTAGCAAACCCATTCTCTACTAGTAGTAGAAAATCTTTAGTAGTAGTGGGGTTGGTGGTACTATCGTTTGTTTTTCGTTTTCGTAAGAGTTTTACGGCACTTGCAACACAATAAAGTCATGTAAGTGCCAAAGACCAGAGCAGATGTTACAAGGGAGTAACAAATACAAAAAGGAGAAGAGATAAGGACGATATATTATTATGTTTGATGTGGAAAGGAGGAGAAAACCACACCAGACCACCCGCCAACCACCCTCTTACTAACAGTTTTGCCTCGTGGTGGTAGTGCTGGTGGTCATAATGGTGGTTGTGTTAATTGTGTTGGTGCTACCATTGTTTCCTGGTGGTGATGATGGTGGTGCTAGTGTTGGTAGTGGTGTTGGAGTTCCTGTTGCTGCTGTTATATTATTGTTGAGTGTTGGTGGTGGTGTTGGTGTTTGTGGTAGTGATGGTGGTGGTGTTATGGTTGTGGTGCTACCATTGTTGCCTGGAGGTGGTGGCAATGATGGTATTGGTTGCGGTAGTAGTGGTGGTGATGGCGGTGGTTTGAATTGTGGTAATAATAGTAATAGAAAAAGGAAATGAGGAAGACCATCTGGAGGCTATAGAGGCACAATAAGGGATGAGACAATCACCCAGGGCCTGGATTTGCCGAAATTGGAGGACATAGCCAAGGACAGGCATGCGTGGCGTCGACGGTTTTTCCGCCTTCTGTACCTGACGGTATTGGGAGAGAGTAAGTAATAATACCATTGTTGCCTGGTGGTGTTGGTGGTGGTGGTAGTGGTGGTGGTGGTGGTAGTAGTGGCGATGAATGTGTTGGTGGTGGTGTTACTGGTGGTGTCAGTGGTGGTGGTGGTGGTTGCAATGAATGTGTTGGTGGTGGTGGGCAATTGTTCGTTCTCGAAAGAAGTTCATTTTGTCATCGAGTGTTTCGGGCTTTTTTCTGAGATATTGTATCCCTCTCAGTCCGGGTTGGCCCTGAATACAGGATTGGACGGGGACTATTTACTCCTAAATACTCTAAATTGAGTTAGGGT